TTATGCCTTCGGGTCCTATAATATACCTGAGCATTTTGCCTTGGCTTACGTCGAAGACACACTTTTCTAGGTTTAGCTTGAGTCCGGCTGCCCTGAGATTGGCGAAGGTTTCTTTGAGATCTGCAATGTGATCCTCTTCATCCTTGCTCATCACCACAATGTCATCGACATAAGCTATGATGTTTTTCTGCAGCTGGGGGCCGAGAACCACTTTTTTCATTCTAGCGAAGGTTGATCCCGTGTTCTTGAGCCCTTCGGGCATTCTGATGTAACAATATGTTCCAAAAGGAGTAGTAAAACTTGTTTTTTCCTCATCTTCCTTGTTGAGCCAGATCTGGTGATATCTTGAGAAACAGTGCAGGAGTGAAAACCGCTTGTAGCCTACCACCTTATCCATAGAGATATCTATCCTTGGTAGCGGAAATGGATCTTTCTTGTAGGCTTTGTTTATATCTGTGAAATCTATGCACATCCTCATCTTCCCATTTTTCTTTGGCACCAGCACTACATTTGCCACTCACTCTGAGTACTTGACTTCTTTGATGACATTTGCATCTAACAACCTCTGCACTTCAGCCTTTGCTGCTAAAACTCTATCTTCCAACATTTTCCTTTGTCGCTGCTTTCTTGGCTTCATTTTAGGGTTGATGTTAAGAGATTGTTGTATAATATCTCTGCTGACTCCTTTCAAGTCGGAGGTTGACCAGGCGAAGACGTCTTTGTTTTTGGCTAAGGTTTCTATGAGCTCTGCTTCTTCATTTCAAAGGTTGCCTTCGATAGTGACTTTTCTATCTAGCACTGCATTCTCTAATGGGACTGATTTTGTTTCTTCTTGATCTTTGAGATCGGTTTTCCCTTCGGCATGTCTGGAGGCTTCGGTCTGTTGCTCTTGGCTGACTCGATGGAGTTAATGTTGCGCTGCGACTTGTAGATGGCTCTTTCTATTTTCTTGCCTCTTTCTGACTCCCGTGGACTGTGATGGTGTCATGCAAAGCTGGTATTTTCATACACAAGTAGCCCATATGGATGGCTGCATTGAACTTATTTGCAAACCCTCTTCGAAGATGTCATTGTATGGGTAGTAGAGATCTACTACGTCGAATGTCACGTATTCTGTTCTTGCATTTTCCTATCCTCCGAAAGAGACTGGCAGGGATATTTTTCCTAATGCATCAATCTTCTTTCCTCCGAAACTAATTAGTGGTGAGTCTGAAGGCTGCAACTGGCTTTCTGCTTAATTTCATCTGGTCGAAGGCATTAACATAAATGATGTCTGCGGAGCTTCTGGAGTCTATGAGAACCCTATTAATTTTCCAACCTGCTATATTGGCTTTGATCACCATGGCATCAGCATGGGGGTAGCTTTCCAACTAGAGGTCTTGTTCTAAGAATGTAATGGGAGTCTTCGACCAATCTGTGCAGCGTACTGGACCCTGAACTGCTATGTTGTTGACAAGCCTGAGATGATCTTTCTTCTACTTCTTTGTTTGGAACTCCATTAAAGAGCCTCTGGCTATTGGTAGTATCATGCCAATGGTGGGTAGCGGTGTATGTGGATTGAGCTAGTTTTCTGGGTTGGGCTCGTTTTTGGGCACGACTAGTTGCGGTGGGGGTGGTGGCAGAGGTAGTGCTTCAAGTTGTCTATTGTGAACTTGAGCTGGCTGGTTTGTCTCTATGAATGTTATATGCGGAGGCCTTGGATTTATATAGGTGAGGTTGGCTTCTGCACGCTGGTTACTGGCATGCCCTTGCTGCTGGGTGCTTGGTCACCATGCGGGTAAGAAGTTAGGGTAGTATGTGGCTGCTAAGGTGGATGGGTGGATTTGATTGGAGTTAAGGCTTGGGTAGATTGGGCAGTATGGCTGCTGCAAGGGTGCAGTGAAGGTATGGTTGACTTCTCTTGCGGGTTGTTGTGGCGGAGGTTGAGGGTTTGCCCTGTTCTTTATCCTCTCTTGAGTTTCCTTCGCATCTGGTCAATCTCTGGTGATGTTCTCTTTGTTCTCTCCATGAAAGAAACAATACTGCCTTAGCTGTCTTGGTTCTTGGTTTTTGTTCTAGTTCTTCCTTTGATTGTATTTCTTGCCTTCGTACTACTTCTGAGGTACTTTGTTTGGGGCTGCCTCCAGCATCTGTTGTCCTTGCTTGTTGTTCCCTTGCTGCTTTATATTAAAAACTTGTTGATCTGGCGGTTGGTGAGGCTATGACTGGCCTTGGCTTCTATTGCCCGTTTGAGCATTCCTGCTACTCCCTTGGTACTGCTTGTTCTGATTTTGCTCTTCTAGCCTTCTACGAAGGTCATTATCTGGCATGCAATACTTCTCAAACTCACTGTATAGTTCTTCTATGGTGGCTTCTCCCGAGCTAGATGAGCTACAAAAGGCCCCGATGCGGAGACCTTTAATTGCGGCTTCGATTGCCACATCCTCTGGAACGTTTGGTGTCTTCGCTTTGAGCTGCACAAACCTTTGAAAATAGTCCTTCAGGGCCTCACCTTGATTTTTCTTGCACTGAAATAGGTCCACTGATGTCAGGGATTCAGTGGTGAACCATTTAAAGTTGGCTATGATCTTGTTGCGGAGGTCCTCCCATGAATACACTGAACTTGGCTACTATGCCAATGCGTCACCTTCGGCTGCAATAACAAATGACTTGGCCAAGACAGTGTCATTCCCGCCTGCCGAGGCTACAGCTGCCTCAAAACTCATGATGAACTAGCGTGGATCAGATCTTTCGTTGAATTTGGGTAGGTTGATAGGTTTGTAGGAGGGGGACCAGGGTGAGTTTTGGATTCCTTCGGACAATGGGGATTTGGAGTCCATAGTTTTGTGGACTGGTGGTAAGGTGTAAGGAGCGCCGAATGTTTGCTGGGCTGCCATACCTGGCGAAGGGTTGGGTTGGCTTTGATTTGCTAAATGGGGCTGGATGGGTGTGTTGAAAAGAGGCTGGCTGGGTTGCATGCTTTGTATCTCCGCTTGCAGGATAGCCAGTTGTTGCCTGATCTCTGCTGCCTGTAGTGATGCTTGGACTGCCCTCTGGCTTGCAGCGAATGTTGCTGCCAGCCGGTCTCTTTCTTGCTGCATGCTCTACAACTGGACTTGCAGCTACTAAAGCACTTGCTCTAGGTTGGGATCTGAGGATTGCTGCTCTTTGACTGCTGGAGGTTGGTCTTTTACAATAGGCTCTTCTATAACTTGGTCTTCTAGGGCGCTAGCGTAGGTGCTGTGGGCGTTACGCCTAGGTCGTCCCCTTGCTACGAGCTCTAAAGTTGCCCTGGCGGAGGCTGCTCTTTTTCTTGCCATTGTGGGTTTTGCTTGGCCTACACACGTTGGGCGCCAATGTTGGAAAACTGGGTTTCCAGCAAGTATGAAGCGGTGGAGTCTTCGCCTAGGTGGATGCCCTAGGCGAAGGCTGAGAAGGTGGTAGGTGGGCCCAAGCACAATCAGGGTTCCATAAATGAATTCACCAACCAACCTTACATTGAGTTTGGCTCCCCCTTTTATAGAGCATTGTATGCCATCACCTATTTTTATATTTCCACCCCTTGACAGCTAAGGCACATCCCAAGAATATTCCTACTCTAGTTACAACTGCTTGGAGCAAAACATGCTTCCCTTCCTTGCGCCGCCTTTCCATCATGGGCCGTCGCCACAGGCCCACGAGAGGCCCATCTCTGGCTCGGGGCTGCAACGGCATGCAGGCCTTCCCGACGTCGGCAGAGTTTCCCTAGTCTTCACCCGAATCGTTGCGACCTCCGCCTCTAGCCGCTTTCGGGGGCCTTCGGTGCCGTCTCCAGGGCCTTCGCCCAACCGCAGGTCGAAGACGAAGGCTCCACCTGGCATCCCTGCACAACACCACACAAGTGTTTTGTTGTCGTTAGTTTATACTCGCTCTAGCCTCCGCTACTCGTGTATCTGTGTCCCAACAGAAAGCTTAACACTTCTGCGGCTCAAGTATTTAGGTTGAAACGAAATGAAGGGTTAGATAAAGATTTTGATTAAAAAGTAATTAGTTTACAACCTAATGGCGATTATTGTTACCCAACTATCGTTTTTTACCAAAGACTAGAATTGTTTTCTAAAAAAGATTACAATGCAAGCAGACATCGATATAGTATTGCCGTTCTCAATTCCACGATTTTTACCTCATTGTGTACTGATGAATTAAATGGCATGCATAGCAGTAGATATCATATTCCTGATTAACCGATTTTTTAAATAAGAAAAATAACTTGCAAATTGCATGTAGAGTTAAAGAACCTATCAACCTTTTTTTGAATGGGACTACAGCAGGCAATTGCCAGCCTGAATTTTGTAGATATGTCAAAGGTTCGAAACATGCAGAATTTGCGAGAAGTACAAGAAAAAAAAATCAGGCTACAAATTGTTTCAACATAAAAAAACATTCTCTGACAATTGGAATACAAATGCCGCATTCTGGTAACTATGAATTCTGAATTAGCAAACTGAAATATTTTTTAATGTCGAGCAAACAAAAATCTACTGGACTCTTTACTATACTACTAGATATAGCAACTACCAACTACTGGTGACTGATCTGATACTTTCAACTTTGTCCTTGACTGAGCAAAATTGTGTATACTATTGACCAGATATTCCATCTCATGCAAATGGATTGTTGATCTGTAGTTAGTTATTACATGGTTTCGATGTTCCATTGGAACATCAATGATGAAACACATTCTTACACAGTGAGAAAGGTGAGTTGGATATCTCATGTCATATTATACTTTCTTCTTACCAAATTGAAGGGCGAGCTTAACATATCATTCGCATTGGTGACAGCCCCGTGTAGTAGCTAGAAATGTTCTCCGCAAAATAATAGGTTCACTCTTAGCCTCCATCTCCGTGACAGCAAGATCAACTGGAATGCATAGTTAGAACATAAATGTTGGTAGCCGCGCCAGAGGTTATCTAGTTATTATATCTGAACCAAGCACAGATACACGTAAATACACCTATATGTCTTCCTAAACTAAAACATCACTGACTTCTATTGGGAAGTTGAGACTGAATTTGCCAAGCATCAAGGATACTCTGCAGGCCAGATCTATAAGTTGGATGGAGCAGATTAACACCAAGTTCCTGCTTCATCCGAGCATTAGAAACCTGTTTCTCTGCACGTACAATTATCTCTTGATAATCTAAGCCTGTAGACTTGTCATCAATGGTTTCAGTTATCAGATCAGGATATCTCCTCTGTATCAAACTCCTAGCAAACGCAAAAACTTCAGCTCTTGGGGCAGGGTCATTATCCACCACATTAAATATTTTCCTGGAATAGAACTATAAGCATGAGAAGTGAATCATTAGCAAACAAGACATTTCAGATTTCACTAGGTTGCTACGAAAGAACCAAACATTACTAAAAACTAGAGTACCAACTGTATTTGGGTTTGGAATTGAAGTTATATTTGATAGTGTATGATCAGAATATCAAACGTGCAAATACTGCAAAAAGAGGTACTAAACATGGTACTCCCTCCGTTCCAAATTCTAAGTAGTTCTGGCTTTTCTACATACATAGGTTTTGCTACATATCTAGATATATATTATGTCTAGATACATAATAAAAGCTATGTATCTAGAAAAGTCAGAACGACTTATAGTTTGGAATGGAGGGAGTACCATTCAAAGTTTCATAGCACAAAATGCGAAATTCCCACTCTACTTGTTACCCTAAGAAACTTCATGATGCATGATATAATTATGTTGGTTTATTGGTAAGTATGATGTCTTCTAGAGAAAACAGAGATACAGTTGAAATATCTTGGTTGTGCAATCCTACAAGCAACGTGGCACAGGAATTAAGACTGAAATATTGTTGGATATCACAAACTGAAGTAACATCAATGCATCTGAAAAGGAAACCTTGCACATCTGATGCTCATGCTAGCCAAGACAGCCTGGTAGATGTCAACCACGTGGATTCGTGCAGTATACTGCTTAGATTCTCGCAACTTTTGTCTCTGTGACAAAGATTTGCCCTTGGTTAAGGTGTCCAAAGCACTGCAGTAAACAGGGTCTAGTCATTGGAATATAAGAAAAGAACTATGAAACAAAAGATTTCACAAAACAGTCATCAAGGTACTACAACCGTCTCCAATAATATATTCTTCATGTCATAATCTATTCTATTATTTGGCCTGGCATTATAGATATGTTTCAGTTTTCATAAGCTTTACACAGTGCTACTAATCAGCATGCCAACAAATGTTCCATTTTTGTCAAACTGAATTAGTAGAAATTAAAATGGTGAAATGGAATGAAATTTCAGCAGGTCAAAACCTTCTTCCTGGCCCATATATTCCACCTAAACGGAATATAAAAGCTGACAGATTTGGATCATCAATAAGATTCAGCCATCCTTTTTCTGCGTTATATCTTAACTTGGCAGACTCGCTCTTTGGGTTTACTGTATGACTGCATGCACAGCAGTGTATTTAGCTTTCCATTAAAATGTACTTCATGGACAAGAAAAAAACCAAAAAGTCCCTTACTCCTCATCAACCAATACACCACCACAATCACCATACACACCTGAAAGTAAGAAAGTGTTACAAAGTAGCTTTCTAAAGAAAATCTCTTATATGGTGCACTGCACACAGCAAGATTTGTTATTACCCTTGACTCAGCTTCAATGTTTGACAACTTCAAATTAAGTGCATGACAAGAGAAAAGGAAATATATGCATCGAGTAATGCATCAACTGCAATAGCTGCCCTGTGCAAATCACCCACAGATCTCCAAATGCAGTGCTTGCCACAAAACGCTTGTAAATATACTTCATGCCAGTTTGTTGTATAGTTAATGGCTAACATGATATAAGCAGAAGAATGGAAGAAGCACTCTGCTCAATTTGATGTTACTCCACATATAATATGTTGGCAACTAAATAAGAAATATATGAGGGGTCTATCCACATGTTTGGATGTTTGGGTGTATTAGATAGTGAAATTTCAAGTCTCTGCATCACAACTGCTTAGAGAAGATATTTGTTTTTCTTCCCCGCTATTTGAGCCTGCTGGTTTTCATAGGAAACATCAATTTCTAATGATACTGCAAAAATAAGAACCCCCCCTCCCCCTCAGGTCTTGGGTTCAACTCCCTATGGGAGCGAATTTAAAAAGGCCTGGGTTAAAATACACCCCTCAGTAGCTGTGTTCCTGAGTCATATGTGTAACCATCTGAATCAGTTTTAGCGAGATACACATGTCCACAGCACGTCCAGGGCAGCTGGCCTTTGGGGTGTTTCTCAGCCTGCACGTGAGAAGCTTCTTCTTAGTGCAATGCCGTTGGGGTGGTCCTTTTCTTTAATATTGCAGCTTTTAGCTTATGAACAAAATATTGACATATTTAGTGTGAAAATTCCCCTGACCGATTGCAGCAATTCTCTTGACTAACCCCAATAAAACTGACAACTTTGAACAGCAGGTGGGCAACTTCACCCTGACAACCCTGAAATCCCCAACCCCCAACATCTACTTGCAAACTGTAGAGCGGCTGCTGAAGACTGGAGATGTAGGATACCGCCGAGAGTTAAGTCAGTAACGATGGTGTGGGATCATATGTTTCAAATGTAAACTCCTCCCCTCTCTCTCATTCAAATGTAACTCAAACTTCAGGACCTGTGTCCTGCAGGGCTACTGCCCTCACCAACAGTTATCTGGAATTTGTGGTAAATATGTCATCAGGTTTCGCGCCCCCCCACCCCCTGCAGCTGAATGTGCACAAAGTGACAAGACATTTGAGAGCTTACTTGTTGACGAAAGGTAGCATAACCATTCAAGATTACCATGGCTGAGAATTCTCCTCAGGTCTTCATCTAAATTAAGTAGCTGGGGTAAGAGGTGCAAATTACCATAAAGTGAAATCCAGTTAGCATTAAAGCCTGATCAAACAAACACAAGCAATGATTGACTTACAGGATCACCAATTCCAGGGATGGGTGGGATGGAGATGAGCAAGTGAGTTGCTTGTCGCAAACTGTGAATATTTTCCAGGCTGGAAGTGACATATCTATCAATAAGAACCACTTAAAAGTCAACCAAACACAGAGATATTTATGTACAGAAACATACTACCATCACACCCGATAATATGAGCAAGAGGATGTGGAGAACACATGCTAAGTAACAAAGGGTGCTCAGACCTCAGAATGGAGTCTAAGTAAAATAAACTAAGTAAAATAAACTCTACCAACTAGCCTATCTGATAGGCTTACGGCTGGTGAATCTATGCTCCAAACAGTTACCTAGTGCAAGCAATGTGTTACAAAGCCAAACTAACGGATTAGTAACAAAAAAGAACCTTGTTACCACCTGCTTCTGCATGATTTCACCAGAAACTGCTATAGGCCCCTCTCTACGTTCTTTGCAAGTAAAATGTGCCAGTGGGATTCCTATCATAAAGGGAATAATCAGTGGCTATAGGAGGGGCTTCCCAGCTGCTTACTAGTTCCTACAGGTGAATGGAGCAACTTATTGACGATTTAGGTTGTTTCTGCTTTCCTTATATTTGATTCATTATTTAGAAATGTTTCTGGCTGATGAACCATCAATGTTCAAGCACAAACGGGGCAGGCTAGAAACAAGTGAGAATGAAAAGGGGACAGGATAAGCAGCACGAATCCACACCTGCTCTCTGTGGCATCGAAAACGAAAGCATTCATGCCCAGCATCTCGAGCTCCCTCTTCTTGGTGACACTGGTGCACGTCCCGGAGACCTGCCTGCAGATTCATCCATCCACTCCCAAATCAGGAATCAGGCTGAGACGGGGAATTGGACATTAGGAAGGAGCGAGCTCGATTTTTCGCCGGCGCCGCCCAGCCAGCGAGAAGCAGGGAGGATGAAGTGGGCGGGGCAAGAGTGAGGGGGCAACTAACCAGCCCTGAGCGAGGAGGCGCTCCGAGACGTAGCGGCCGACGAAGCCCGCGCCGAACACGAACATGTGCCGAGGCTGAGGTGCCCAGGCCACCGGCGCCGCCGCCGTCTTGGGGGCGATTCCTGGAATCATCGTGATTCGCGTTTCTGGCCCGCAAGAAAACAGTGGTGGAAATTAACAGGATCACAAATTCGCAGAATCGCAGTTCAAAATAGCAATCAATTGGTTGAATCCAGTGAATCCACTACAAGAACCTAGGTGTGGGTGGTTCTGTTCTCGGGGTAGGCCGCACACGCGGATGAGTCCTGCCAACCTCTCAAGTGCCGACAGAGGCGGAGCTCCACCTACGGCAGGGTACGGCAGCTGCCCCAGCTAGCTGAACTGAAGACCCCACTCCTTTCTTCTCCTTTCAATGGCCTGTCTGCGGCGGAGTTTTTCGTTGTTGGCGTTTGGGGCCTCCAGCACCCGACCGAGGAAGACGACGACGCCTCAGAAATTAGCCTTGAAATGGACTGGCAGTACTCTGGCCCAGTTGATACTTAGCAACGGCGGCCCAACAGGCCGAGCTAGCTCGTGCCATCCCTTTCGGCCTCTCCGTTTGTCTGATCGCGGCAGTGCCCGGCGATTTTTTTTATGCAAATCCTTTTATACGAGTAATAATAAAGATAATTTCAAAGTTTCACATTTTGAATTTTTTGTGAATAAGGACCTAGAGCCTTCAAAAAAATCTTGTGATTTTCTAAAATATATGCTAAAAATTAAGGGTGACCCATTTTATTTGTATTTGTCATCATAGCTTTTGCAGTATTGAGACCAAAATTCTTGCTATATTTAAGTTTTCGGTTAAGTTGTTTTGCCCAAAATATTTTTCAAAAATCCATAACATCTAAACTTATGATTCAGAAGTAGTATTTTGACATGTAATTTATGTGCTCAACGAGTATCCAAAGTTCTTAACCAATCGCTTGCTTAAAATTAGATTTTATTTTTGAAATTAAATTTAGAAACATTCAAGACAAGCTTAAAATTTTCATGACAAGTTTACAATATATTTAGGATCCATGAAAAATATTAGAGAAACAACATGGGTTTAAAATTTTGTTTATAGTAAGAATTACTTCTAGAAGTGTTTCACCCATCAAAGGATTTTGAATAAACATCAAAATGACCACCAGTGAATCTTCATAGCTCGTAAATATGAAATCCCACTGCGTTGTTTGCCACAAGAATTGGATGCTCGGTGTCACGGACGTGGCTCCACCATCAACATCAGCGTCGCACCATTGTGTGCAGTGGGCTATAATAACTTTTCTTTGTTGCTACTACAACAATCATTTTTCTTTTCTTTTGACAAAGGCGGACCTGCATGCAATCGACAGGAGGATTTAGTATTTTGTTGGAACAGTAAAAAACAAAATATGGATCTTTGATTCGATTTGGCATCCTATATACTGGAATATATTTTTCCTAAAAATATATACCGGCCGAAATATATATATAATTGATCCGAACAATGGATGGAAAATGAACATGATGTATCATACCTCTGCAGACCTCCGCTGGGCCTGAGCAGCTGGGCGTAAGGAACCACGGCCCCGCAGTGAGCTTTGGAGCAGCGCTGTTTCCTACATGAAGATGAGAGAGATCCACACCTGCTCGGGCGCTCGGCCATCCACTGGAGCAGGTTCGTGGCAGCAAGCAGCCAGCCCAGGGGGGTGCGTGGCCGTGACCCCGATGAACCGGCCGACTCAGCACGGAGGAGAGAAGGTGGTGTCGTCGTTGCAGACGAAGATACGCAGCACAGAGGAGGGAAGGTGGTGTCGTCGTTGCAGACGAAGATACGCAGCACGGAGAAGATGCGCAGCACGGAGGAGGGAAGGTGCTGTCGTCGTTGCAGACGAAGATACGCAGCACGGAGGAGGGAAGGAAGATGCATCACACAGAGGAGGGAAGGTGGTGTCATGTTTCCATCTGCTCAATAAAGGAGACAGCGGTCATCTCAGTCCGGTCAGACGTCATCCCAGTGCTAGCAGCACGAACAACACAATACCGCACGACAGTGACTGTCAGTACGACGACCCGTCGTCCAAGTACGGTCCAACAAGACGCATGTATGGTTCTGCCCATTATGGAATGGGATCCACGACGAAGGTCTTGACTTAGAGGCTATACAAACCGGGGGAGACCCCGGAGCTCGGGACCGTGGCTACCAACTCCACAAGCCAACTACACGACCGACGACAGGGGCGGCCACCAACTCTGATACGATGACCCCAGGAGATCAGGAGCGATGACGAAGGCCACGGTGGAGACCACGTCACGCAGGACAGCTAGCGAACCACCACCTTGCCAGCAGTGCCGTCACGACCGGCACAGTAGCACCACGCCATACCTTACCGCGACATGGGTACAAGACCATGACGACAACCACGTTCGGACGTGTACTACAATACATCATAATTTACAAGCCAAGTTAGCTAGGCCCCTCTCTCAGGCTCACGACCTCTCGGTCGGGAGAACCTACTTCTTTATACATCCTCTGGCCCTAAACTCTATATAAGGGCAGTCAGGGCATCCTTCCTAGGACCAGCTTCATCTTGAATTCATTCTCTCATTCTACACAACCTCTGGACACCTAAAGCTTTCCTTCAGGCAGTTCATCTTCTAGCTTTAGCTCTCCTACCTCTTCTACTATTTTTGCACCCCCTATTATAAGAACTTCAGAGCATTCAAGCAAGGAACATGCACTCGATCATCTTTGAGACTGGACGTAGGGCTCCGGCCTAAACCAGTATAAATCATCGTGTCTTTTAGATGCTACCATCGTCTTCTTAGAGCAGCGCGACAATCTTATAAATTTACTAGTCCGGTTTACAAAACACCGACAGTTGACGTGCCAGCTAGGGGACAGTCGCGCACTCTCGATTGTTGAGAAGGAAGCGATGGCTCCTCGTACCATCGGTGCACTCGCTCACGGAATGGCCAACGGCGGCCACATCCGCCACGAAAACGACAAGTTCATCGACGTTAGAGGGCCAGGGTCTGCCTTCAACCGTGGCCCGGACCTCCGCTCTAGAAATCTAGACCCCATGGTCTATGGCGGACACACTCTTGGAACCACCCTCTGTGGCAGCATCCTAGAGTTCACCTACATAGAGGGGGGCACTACCCTCTCTCATCACTAGCCACGGCCAAGTCTTCCACCCAGGAAGCCAGAGGCCCATGGTTCTTGGTGAACTCACCCAGGGAATGGCATCAACCGCCCACATCCTTTTAGGGAACCGCAAGGTCATCCACACCACTAGGTCAACACCCATCACTAGCTTCTACCCTATCCAGGCCAACCGCGTGGGGAGCCTGGGTCTGATGGTAGAATCACGCCTCGAGCGGCAACTTTGCCACCAGCGAAACGCAGCGTGTCAGGGCACGCATGAACGACGAAGTCACCTACTGCCACATGGCGGCATCGTTAGCGATCAGGTGGTTGCCCGGCACCACGCCATGCAAGGCCAAGCCCGTAACCAGGGTCCAGCCCTGCTTAACGGACAAACCGTCCGTCATGCCTTAGCGAACTGTCAACTTTCACTTGGAGGCACGTGCATCCGAGGAAGCGGGCTCCCTGCGTGCACCACGCGCCGCGCCGAGCGGACCAAACCGTGTCACCCTCAAAACCCGGTTTCGCAGCGACAAGTCGCGCTAGCTGTTGGTATATATTAACACACACAGAATAATCCGCAAACGCACGGATATTATACCGATGTAGCACTTCACCAGAAGTATCCCAGTTTTATATCGAACTCAACGAAATGTGTGTGAGAATAACTAAATCTAACTTAACCCAACTTGGCAACCAGGCTTAGATAACAGGAGTATAAAGGAGATCGCTAAGGTCTTCTAGTTCTAACTTCAGTAAGCTATGTCTTCTATTGTTCAATTCTTGGGATATTACTAAGGAAAACACAGGCATAGTATGTTTTCTATAGCAACAAGGTCCTGCTTGGACTACAAACGGGAGTTGGACTACAAAGGATTCAACGAGGCTATAAGAGTCACCCTCGCAAGCTACCACCGATCCAGAGTGTAGGGTACATCCACGCTTACACTATGAATACTACTTTAACCCATGAGCTACAAGGATTAAAGTACTCAAAAGAGTCATAAACCTAAAAATCAATATAAAGACATTACTTACTTGAATTAAAAATTGATTACCAGAGAAATCTCAGAAACAAGCTCAAGAAGAACTTGATTCTGCCAGGGTACAAGCCGTAGAGAGAGCACCAACAGACCGACACTTCCTCTAAACTCTTCCCTCACACTCTATCTCTCTATCTCTAATAGAAGACTAGATCATGTTGAGGACTAATCTTCTCTTGATTGCTAGCTCTGATCCTGGTGGAAATACGAATTAGGGTTTTTGGCGTTTAGGCTCTCAGGATCAATGCATGCCCTTGCAGGAGGGGGTACAGGCAGGTATATATAGGGGGGGTACATAAATTCTAGACCCTCAAATCAAACCAACTTAAAAGAATGGCATAGATGTGATCCTTGAGCCGATGGAGAACCGACATAGCGAGGAAAGGCCGACAGGAGGGACCCAGAGGCTGGCCGACCTGACAGTGGGGTCGACCAGCCCCACATGGTAGTGGCTCTGGCTCTGCTTCGGTGGAGAGCCTCCTGGAGTCCTCTAGAGTCTTCCCACGTTAGTTTCACTATGGATAAATGTGATTTCTTTCGATGAATGGGCCCTCCTTGGCGGTTTTCTGATTAAATCCTGTTGGAAACACAGATTCACCAAAACTCGTAGAATTTATCAGTTAAAACCCCTAAGTCTATGTTGGTGATTCATTTTAATCATTTATACAAGGTATATTGATGGTTTGTGATGAATTTTAACTACCGTCAACAAACTCCCCCACACTTAGGGTTTTACTCGTCCTCGATAAAAGGATGGATTACTTAAGACATAACCTTAGGACAAGTCATCAACAGAAAACCATTCCTAGTCATACATGCTCTGCAGGATTCAAAGTGTCTACCATGAAACTTTAGGTGGTTGAAGAATGGAACAGCTTGAAACAGATCGCCATCTTCCTTCAATCAAGTCAATTGAAGAAACATTTTAAGATTTT